ACAATGCATCGCGTACCCTTTCGGGATCATCGCCCTGCCTGACATCCGACTGTGCGAGTAGAGAGGGGATCTGCGCCATGGTAAGGGATGGGAGGGAGGGGTAGGATGTCAATATGACGCGAGCGCACCTAGCTTGCCCCCCCTCCCCCTCCCCCTCCCCCCTCCCCCTCCTCCTCCTCCTCCTCCTCCTCCTCCTCCTCCTCCTCCTCCTCCCTCCCTCCTCCTCCTCCTCCTGCTCCTCCTCCTTCTCCTCCTCCTCCTCCCTCCTCCCCTCCTCCTCTCCTCCTTCCTCCTCCTCCTCCTCCTCCTCTCCTCCTCCTCCTCCCTCCTTTTCCTCCTCCTCCTCCCCCCTCCTCCCCCCCGCTCCTCCTCCTCCTCCTCCTCCTCCTCCTCCTCCCTCCTCCTCCCTCCTCTCCTCCTCCTCCTCCTCCTCCTCCTCCTCCTCCTCCTCCTCCTCCTCCTCCTCCTCCCCCTCCTCCTCCTCCTCTCCTCCTCCTCCTCCTCCTCCTCCTCCTCCTCCTCCGCCTCCTCCTCCGCCACGTTAACCTCCGACGTCTTATCACGCATCCCGTCACCCTCGAGGGCCGAGGTATCAAGGGTCGGCGGCACTGGCCGTAAGGCCTTGGCAATATGAGTTTCCAATCGGAAATCGACGGTGCTTGCTTATTTGGGGCTCTATTGGAGTGCCTCCTGGGAGCCTCCTGGGGGTCTCTTGGGGGCCTCTTGGGGCCTCTGGAGGCCTCTTGGGGCCTCCTGGGCACCTCTTGGGGCTTCCTGGGAGCCTCTGGGGTCGAAAGTTCGGAATTTGAATATGGTTGTGCACCCCTGGGGCCCCTCTGGGGCTCGTCCTGGGGCTCTCTTGAGCTGTCTTGGGGACCGTCTTGGGACCCTCTTGGGGTCGTCTTGGAGACCTCTTGGGAGCCTCTGGGGCAGTCTTGGAAGCCTCTTGGGCTGTCTTGGACGCAGTGGACGCCCCAAAAAGGCAAACACGCCCAAAATATCAGTTTTCCCATCGGATATCGACGAGTTTTGCTTATTGGGTCTCTCTCGGGGTGCATCTTGGGGCGTCTTCGGGGCCTTCGGGGGCCTTCTTGGCGTCATGGGAGTCGTCTTGAAAGGCGTCTGGAGCCATCGCTGCGGCCTCGGCCTCCCGGGGCCTCCCTGCAGCCTCTTGGAGCCCTGATGGTAAGGGTCGCCGAAACCCCGTAAAAAACACAAAACGACGCCCGGGCCCCCCACTTGTGGTCGTGGCGCCGGCCCCGGGCCCCCGGACCCGGTCCCCCGTTATGTGTGTATATATTTATGTATATTTGTATATATATATATAAATACATACGCATATATGTCGCATATGTGCATCGAGTAACCCTATGCAACATCACATATGTTAGTTTTGTGAAGTGTATTTGTGTGTCGGTATCTGCTGTCTTGTGTATACCCACTAGTCGCACTGATGTGTGATCGGGGCCTCTTTACAATTTTCTGTGTTCTTGCTATGCGATGCTATATGTATATGTGTAAACATATGTGTACACACAAATGCATGTGTATCCGTGTGTATACGTCATACAATGCTTTCTGCTTGCACATATGGTTCGGTGATTGAGTCCGAATACAAACTTAATTTGCTGAACTTAACACGGCACAACTATGAAGACACGTGTGTAACCTTGTTATCTCGAGCCCTTTCCATTTTTCCCTCCGTCCCTCCTCAGCCTCCAGCAGTACTAATGGGATGCCACTTCAGCCATGAAACATCCGACACACCTCCCTAGCACCAAATATCCAAACCCACAGAGAGCCACGTGACGCTCACGATACCACTTCGATTCGACTTGAATCCCACCGATTGCACCACCGCAAACACCATACTATACTCATCTGCCTTCGCAAGGCATTCCACGAAACCCCGAGCAGCATCCAAGAGGCTTTGGAACCCACTACCCAGGCACGAAGGCCGCTAGATTTCGGGCAGTGTGTCAAGTGCTATGGCATGAAGCCACATGACGCCGCACGCCATGTGCGAGTTCACGCCCAAGCAGAACATGACGTCCAAGACAAACAACGACCCAGACGCCTGCATGCATCGTCAGAACCCCCGCCCCTTACCTGGGACATACAAGTCGTGCTGTACCTACATGCGCCTGCTCCCACACCTACGTCGTTTGTGGACTCGATCCAGAATCAATGCTGTACGCTCCTGGACTTCGCGTGGGCCCCGCAAGAAGCCCCAATCCAGCCCTAAGCCAGCCCGATGTCCAATGGCATTCCGACAGAGTTACGGCCCAACACGGACGTGCTGTCGCTTCGGCCGTTCAGAGCCCGCCTTAGCCGCATAGGTCCCTGCATGTCTCCTTTTAAGCAGTGTTCGGGCCGTTTTTGGTTGATCTTGGGCCTTGGGCAGTGTTCGGGCTACTTCTGGCCTTCTGGAGTGGATAGTAAACAAAAGCCCAGAGAGCCAACGTCCATATCACTGACCCGTCGGCACTGATGAAGGGACGACGACCAAACGGCAAATATACGATCGATCAGCCACGCGGCATGTCTGACCCCAACAGCCTGTGGGCTGGGAGCAACAATGGAGCGCAGGCAAGAACAACAAAACACACCTGCGGGGTGTCTTGTATAATATCTGCATGTGTTCATGTCGTCGTGGAGCCGTCTTCGCGTCGACCGGCGAGAACTGGAGTGGGCGGGCGGTGAACGCGAAGCGTCTCGAATAATGCCGATGTGGGAACTGTGGTCCCGAAAGTTCTGCAGTTGGGGGCCACCCCGATCCATTGAAACTGGCAATGCGGAAGGGCCTCCGCTTGCCATGCTTGGGAGGTCGTCGCCACGGGCGGGTCGAAGGTGCGGCGTGAGCATCCTGCTCTGGCCCATGGCCGACAGCCAAGAAGCCGCGCTGCATTTCGAAGCTACAGCCTGCAAAACTGGCTGGGCACCTGCGACACACACACACACACACACACACACACACACACACACACACACACACACACACACACACACACACACACACACACACACACACACACACACACACACACACACACACACACACACACACACACACACACACACACACACACACACACACACACACACACACACACACACACACACCACACACACACACACACACACACACACACACACACACACACACACACACACACACACACACACACACACACACACACACACACACACACACACACTGTGCCCCTACGCGAATGCACCAATCGAGGGGCGCCATGGGCGCAGGCTGCCTGCCTGAAGACGGATGAGCCTGGCCTGGTCTCAGAATCGGGACGTGGTTCGGAAGTAGCCACAGCCTCCGAACACGAGGGTGTTGCAGATGTGTACACCTACAGCTCACTGAAGGGAACGTCTTCGATCGATTCGACTTCTCCTCCAGTGAGACGCCGTCTCCTGTTGCTGGCGTACGGGGGGGGCTCGAAGGTCACTGCCCGCGTGCACACAGTCCATGGCTGCAAGATGGGCTGGCAGACCTGACCCAGGTGCTGCAGCAGCAAGAGGGAACCCAATCCCAACATATGCCCCCGGGACCTGGTGGGCCGCGACAGCTGTCTGCAGGTCTGTGATGTGCGCCGTAAGAGAGTAAGAGATCCCAGAGCCGTTTTGGAATTACCCGCCTACAACGCGAAAAGGACCGCGCACCACGATCTGCTGTAGACGACTGGCCTCGGCCACAAGAAGTCGGGCTGGTTTCCGTGGCGCCGTTGACTGCTGCGCGGGCGGCGGCCACCTCGAGCTCGATGGCGTCGGGCTCCCGGTTGGCCGTGGCTGGCTCGGCGGACCTCGCGTCGGACTTTTCCTTCGCAGCGTGCGCAGCCTGAGCGAGGAGTGGCTGGACCTCGCGGGCCTTGGAGCTCAGCCTGTGCAAGGCGCTGCGCAGCATGCCGCCAAGAGTATGACGAGCGCGCCTAACAGCTTCAGCAGCAGTGAGATACCACTTGGCACGGATGACCAGATCGTGATCGTCACAGAGGCCGCACGTAATGCTGCCAAGGTTCCCTTGGCCTTAGCGGCCATGTCGGGTTCCAAAGGAGCATCATCTTCTCGTCGAGACTAGGGGGTGGAGGGTGCTCGTTCGCGCGATCCTCGATCGACGGGCCAATTTGGATCAAGCTGTCCATTCTGATTTCGCCCGCGGATGTAGCACCGCCTATTGCATGACAATGTGCAAGGAGAGACGTACTGCCAAGACGCACCATATGTCCAGCGCGGGTCCATCGACTGTTGCCACGTCTAGCTGCCGCCTTGGGCTCTTTGCACATGTTGTGTGTCGAGCCGTGGCGATCGCTAACACGACGACGAGTACAGTCTACGTAGTCTGACCACCTGTTTGGCGCTGCTTCTCTTCCGACAAATGTTGCGGCGCTAAACTGGAGATGGTGCACGAGGCCGACTGTCGCTGAAGATATCTCTGATCGCTGATATCCGTCCACTGCACTGAAGTCAGGGCCCGTGCCACCTCAGGCACGCACCAATCGATCGCGTCCACAGCGCACGGCCAGCCCATGGCTGTGCCAGCTCAGGCAGCCCAGTCCAGCAAATCGCTTGCGCGGGCTGGAACCTGCCTGGTTCGGCATGCGAGGGCGGGACCGCACACGTTCCAAGGCGCCTGCTCTCAGGCACTCGACCCTTAGGAAAAGGATGAAGCTGATAATGACGATGCTGATATGATATGACCTGAAGTGATATGACAGGATGACGATAAGGATGATGGAAGAGGAGGAGGAGGAGGAGGAGGAGGAGGAGGAGGAAGAGGAGGAGGCGGAGGAGGATGAGGAGGAGGAGCAGGAGGAGGAGGAGGGAGAGGAGGAGAGGAGGGAGGAGGAAGGAGAGAGGAGGAAGGAGAGAGGACGGAGGAGAGAGGGAAGAGGAGGAGGAGGAGGAGGAGGAGGAGGAGAAGGAGGAGGAGGAGGACTCCAGGGCAGTGCCGAAGCGGCAGCGGCAGAGCACGGCGGCGGCGCCTAGGCCCAGCAGCGCCGCCGCGGCCGCGGCCAGGCCTAGCGGGCGGCGACCGCCAGCGCCGCTGCCCTCGTCCAGGAGGACCGTGGCGTTCGGCGAGGGCGGCGCCTGGACCGACGACGACGACCGACGACGGCCGACGAAGACGAGGCCGACGATAGGACGACGAGGACGAGGCCGAGGAGGACGACCGACGAGGACGATGACCGACGACGGCCGACGAAGACGAGGCCGAGGAGGACGACCGACGAGGACGACGACGCCGCGGCGGCGGCCGCCACCGCCGCTGAGCGGCCGTCGCCGCGGCCGCCGCCGCGACCGCCGCAGTGGCCAAATCTGAGCGGCCGCCGTCGGGCGGCGGGAGGAGGACGACGACGGCGATCGAGGCTCGAGGATCGACGGTCCCCGATGCTCTTCATCGTTTTTTTGGCCTCTGGGGGGCCCCTTGTCGCCGCGGCCAGCTTCGCCTCGAAATGCGAATGGAAGCGCACCGCGGGCCAGGTGAGACAGCCGAACGTGATGGGAGACGACGACGAGGACGACAAAGATGAGGACAAGTCCGACAACGACAACGACTAGGACGAGGACGACAAAGACCGTGGCTATCCGCGAAACTGGCACCACGATCGGCTGCAGTGCACTTCTCCCCCCGCCCTTCGACTCCTCCTCCTCCTACTCCTCCCCCTCCTACTCCTCCCCCTCCTCCTGGTCCTCCTCCTCCTCCTCCTCCTCCTCCTGCTGCTGCTGCTCCTCCTCCTCCTCCTCCTCCTCCTCCTCCTCCTCCTCCTGCTCCTCTTCCTCCTCCTGCTGCTCCTTCCTTCCTTCCTTCCACTCCGCTTGGCGCCACCCCCAGGTCGGGGCGTGCGCCCGGCCGGGCCGTGCGGCGCGGGCCCTCAGAGGCCGGCGAGCTGTGCTCGCTTGCTGCCCTTCCCCGCGGCCGGGGGCTCGTCGGCTGGAGCCCGACGCCGAAGCGGGGGGCTCCTCACCTAGAGCCTCCGGGGAAGGGGTCGCCCGGTGGCCCCCCCAGTAGGCCGCTGGTGGAGTGCCACGCGGGCGCGGCCCCCGGCAGCCCCGCCTTGGGCTGGGTCGCTGCCGGTGGGCACTCGGCCCAGAGAGGAAGGGTAGTTACGGGCTGGCGGGGACCGGGGGCCAGGGCCAGGCAGGGGGCCCAGGGGCCGGACCAGGGGTGGGCCCTCCCGAGGGGCGAACGCCAGCCAAGCCACGGGACCAGGGCCCAGGGAGGGGGGCAGGGGACGGGGCCCGGGCCCGGGGGCGGAGGCAGGGAGGGGGGGCAGGCCCAGCAGGGGGCCCAAGGGCCAGGCCAGAGGCGGAGGAGGAGGAGGAGGAGGAGGAGGAGGAAGGAGGAGGAGGAGGAGGAGGAGGAGGAGGAGGAGGAGGACGGAGGACAGGAAGCCGGGGCACTCGCTCAGGAGGGGGGGCCGGGCGCAGGGGTCGGCGCACATACCCTTCCTCTCCGGCATGGTGCCTAGGGTGCTGCCTGCAGCGCTGCCTCCAGGCGGCGCGCCTCCTGCGGCGACAGGCCGGCGGCCGCGCCCGCCCCGGGCCGGCGCCGGAGCTGGGCGTCTGGCCGGGCGTTGGGTTGCTGCTGGCGGGGTCCTGGTTGGTCCCTGCGGGCTTGAGCCAATATGTTCCGGCGGACGGACGGACGGGAGAGGAAGGAGCGGCCCCCCCGGGTCGCCGTCCTCGATTGATCTGGCTGTGGCCTGCGTCCTCCTCCTCCTGCTCCTCCTCCTCCCCCTCCTCCTCTCGTGGCCCCTCGGGCGCGATCCTCGCCCTAGGGGCCTCTGCCGACGGCGCGACCTCCTAGAAGCCGGGCAGCCTCGCCTCCCGGCAGGAGCAGAACCTCCCCGCGCCCCTGGGCCCGGCTTGCGCGGGCGAGCTCCGCGGCCAGGAGATCGTCCTCTTCGTCCGCTACCCTCCTCCGCCTCCTTCTCCTCCTCCTCCTGCTGCTGCTGCTGCTCCTCCTCCTCCTCCTCCTCCTCCTCCTCCTCCTCCCTCCTCCTCCTCCTCCTCTCCTCCTCCTCCTCCTCCCCTCCCCCTCCCCTCCCCCTCCTCCTCCTCCTCCTCCTCCTCCTCCTCCTCCTCCTCCCTCCTCCTCCTTCTCCTCCTCCTCCTCTCCCTCCTCCTGCTCCTCATTCTCCTCCTTCTCCTCCTCTTCCTCCTCCTCCTCCTCATCCTCCTCCTCTTATCAGATTATTATCATCTTCTCCTCCTCTTCTCCTCCTCTTCTCCTCCTCCTCCTCCTCCTCCTCCTCCTGCTCCCCCATCCGTTTCCATCCCTCCTCCTCCCTCCTTCTCTCCCTCCCTGTCCTCGTCTCCCTGTCCCATTCGACGGCAGCGGGGCCCCGCAAAGGAGCAGAGGGCGCCTTCGCTTGCGCGCCCGTGGCGTTCTCCTGGCGCTCGCGCGCGAGGAGGGAAAGAGAGAGACGGCAGAAGAGAGAGGGAGGAGGAGGAGGAGGAGGATCAGGAGGAGGAGGATCAGGGAGGAGGAGAAGGAGGAGGAGGAGGAGGAGCAGGACTAATGCAAGCCCAAGATCCATCAACGATGTTGGAATACCCCCTCCCTCCAAGTTCCCTCTCCATGGACCCCTGGGAGGATTCATTTCCACCGAAGAAAGTGCCCCGTTGGGGGGCAACCATTCCACGCGACGGCTCAGCCTAGCTGCTGCGTCTTGGCGATCATGGATCGCGTCAGAACACCATTCCTGGGACTTCAACAATGCGGGTCAACGTAACAGTTGCGCCTTGACAAGCCAGGACCGCTCCAACACCCCATTTCTAATGCGTTAACATTTGAAAATGACCAGCCTTAATCCGTGAAGCTCCTGGAACTGGTTCGAACGAACATGCGCGGCGCGAAGGCGAGAGCCACGCACTGGAAACGAACCGCCCTCACTCCATTAAGCTCTGGCAAATCTTTAAAACGAATGTATGCGTCGCTAAGGCGAGAGCCGCCGTTTGAAAACCACCCACCCTCAGTCCGTGAAGCTCTTGCAACTTAGTCAAACGAATGTGCGCGGCGCTAAGACGAGAGCCACCATGAATTCATGAAACCCTTGCAATTTTTTCAGACGAATGTGCGCGGCGCTAACGCGAAAACCACCTGTTGAAACCGAGCCGCCCTCAATTCGTGAAGCTCTTGCACACGTTTCAGAAGAATGCGCGCGGCGCCAAGACGAGAGCCAGTCCTCAATCCATCAAGCTCTGGCAAATAGTTAAAACGAATGTGTGCAGCGCTAAGGCGCGAGACCCACATGTTGAAAACCACCCGCCCTCAATCAGAGAAGCTCTTGCAACCCATTCCATCGAATGTGCGCGGCGTTTGTGCGAGCACTGCATTTTGAAAACCACCCGCCCTCAATCAATGAAGCTCCTGCAGCTTTTTCAAACGAGTGTGCGCGGCACTAAAAACGAGCCACCCTCAATCCATGAAGCGCTCGCAAACTTTTCAGACGAATGTGCGCGGCGCTAACGCGAAACCACATGTTGAAAACGAACCGCCCTCAATCCGTGAAGCTCTTGCACATGTGCCAAGAGAATGTGCGCGGCGCTAAGGCGGGAACCACATGTTGATAAAAGAGCCGCCCTCTCTCCATGAAGCCCTGGAAAGTCTTTGAAACGAATCTGCGCGGCGCTGGGACGGAAAACCACATTTTGAAAACAACCCGCACTCAACCCGTGACGCTCTTGCAAACGTTTCCAACGAATGTGCGCGGCGCTCGTGCGAGAACTGCATTTTGAAAACGGCCCGCCCTCAGTCCGTGAAGCTCCTGCATCACGAGTCAGCCTATCTGCTGCGCCATGACGGTCAGGAATCGTGTCGGAACACCATTGTTGCGACTTCAACACTGCGAATCAACGTACTTGCTGCGCCTTGACAAACCAGAATCGTTCCAACACGCCGTTTCTGGTGCGCTAACCTTGGAACAACTGGAAACCTCTGCACAATGCTAAAACGAATGCGCGCGGCGCTAACACCATAACCAATATTTGGAAAAAAGAAGCGCCTCAATCCGTGAAGCTCTTGCAACTGATTCGAACGACTGCGCACGGCATTAAAAAGAGAGCCACCTGTTGGAAACGAACCACCCTCAATCCATCAAGCTCTGGCAAATAAAACGAAACTGTGCGGCGCTAAGGCGCGAGAACCACAGCTTGAAAACCACCCGCCCTCAATCCGTGAAGCTATTGCAACGTATTCAAACGAATATGCGCGGAGCTAAGGCGAGAACCACAGTTTGAGAACGAGCCACCCTCAATCCATCAAAACCCTGGCAAACTTTTCAGACGAATGTGCGCGGCGCTAACGCGAGAACAACAATTTGAAAACGAGCCGCCCTCAATCCGTGAAGCTCTTGCCCACGTTCCAAACGAATGTGCGCGGCGTTAAGGCGAGAACCACATGTTGAAAACGAACCGCCCTCAGTGCATCAAGCTCTGGCAACATTTTACGACGAACCTGTGCGGCGTTAGGCGATCACCACATTTTCAAAACCACCCGCCCTCAACCCTGTGAAATCCATGCAAACTTTTCCAACGAATGTGCGCGGCGCTCGTGCGAGAACTGCATTCTGAAAACGCCCGCTCTTAGTCCGTGAAACTCTTGCAACGTTTTCAGACGAATGTGCTCGGCGCTAAAGCGAGAGCTGCATTCTGGAAGCGACCCGCCCTCCATCTTCGAAGCTGCTGCCAATTTTTCGTCTTGAGGCTCATATATGATAACGAAGTCATCAGCGGAACGTTTGGCCCGCCCTTCCGACTGGCCTCGGGCTGCGAGAGGGAGGAGTTAGTCATAAGGAAGAGAGGGAAGAGGAACGGATGATGATGATGATGATGATGATGATGATGATGATGATGATGATGATGATGATGATGATGATGATGATGATGATGATGATGATGATGATGATAAGGAGGAGGAGGAGGAGGAGGAGGAGGAGGAGGAAGAGGAGGAGGAGGCTGATGATGATGAGGGGGAGAAGGAGGAGGGAGAGAAGGAGGAGGAGAAGGAGGAGGAAGGAGGAGGAGGAGGGAGGAGGAGGAGGCGAAGGAGGAGGAGGGCCAGTGTCCGCCGACGAGCGGGGCCTCTCAGGCCAGCGCGGGTGGGCCAGAGCCCTCAGTGGTCTTGGTCGACGGTTTCGTGGGAGGGGAGGGCGTAGGGGGAAAGTTTTTTTAATACAAAAAAAGGGCGTAGGGGGAAAGTGTTCGTGGTTCAGTGTCGGAGTCCGAGTCGCCTCAGTTTCGCCAGCGTCAGCTAGCGTAATGAGGAGAATCCTGGAGGCCTGGCGCGGCAACTTGAGACTCAGTGCACGTCGGATCCACGTCGGATTTACGCAGGGCTTACGTTGGAACATCGCCGCACAAACGTCCAAACGTCGTCCCGTATCTGAAGGGGCGGACGTGTGTACTAGATAATACAAAGATTGTGCGCCGCGCGAGGCCTCCAGGCTTGTCCTCATCGACGCCAGATCCCCTGGGCCAAGTCTTGGGTGTCTCGGGTCCAAGAGGCGGTCGGGCCGGCGTTGGCTCCTGACACCACGCGGATCGCTTAACCTTGGACGATCGGCGGCTTTTCGACCTCCAGTTCCTTCCACGTTGGTCGAGTCTGGGCCGCTGACGGCGCTCAACCTCGAACGCCCGTGGCTGGGTAGCCGCCGCGTCGACACGACACGAACCCGCCGTACCTTGGTCAACGGCAGAGCATTCAGCATTGTAGGCCTGGAGCGGTCCAGCAAGGCGGCTCTGCCACAGACTCGGCGCTCCGGGTCCGCAGACTTCTCTCCAGAGCTGCCAGCGCTCGCCTCGCAGGAGGCGGTCGGCACGCGAGTTCTCCGCCCCTGTCTTGACCCGGCGGACGAGCAGCTTCCGGGTCGGCCAGCCTGCTGCTTCGGGCGTACACCTGGTACCGGACGCCAGCCCCCGCCAGATCAGCAGGGAGCCCTGACGCAAAGTCCAAGAGAGTACCTCCGCCGACTGCACAGGAGGAGGAGGAGGAGGAGGAGGAGGAGGAGGAGGAGGTTGAGGTTAAGGAGGAGGTTGAGGAGGAGGAAAAGGAGGAAACAAGGAGAGCAAATGATAAGTTGGAAGATGAGGCAGAGAAAGCGGAATGATGATGGTGGTGGGAATGGTGATGGTGGCGATGTTTCGTTTCTCTGCGCCGTTGGCCCCTGCGACTGTTTTATCTAGCAGGTCGTGATGGCGACCGTGATGGTGACGATGATGGTGATGGTGTTCATGGTGATGGGGAGGCGGAGGGCGGAGGAGGAGGACGACGATGACGAAAGAGGAGCACGAGGCCAATGAGGCCGACGAAATAGGAGGAAGAAGAGGAAGAGGAGGAGAAAGAGGAGGAGGAGGAGGAGGAGGAGGAGGGGGCCGAACACAAAGGAAGGTGGAGGAGGAGGAGGAGGAGGAGGAGGAGGAGGAGGAGCGTGAGTACGATGACAACGACAGAGAGAGAAGAGAGAAAAAGAGAGAGAGAGAGAGAAGAACGACGACGACGACGACGACGACGACGACGACGACGACGACGACGACGACGACGACGACGACACGGCTGGCGTGGAGGCCAGCGCCGGGGCCGCCCGTCCAGCGAGGTGTGCATGCGAAGCGCCTCCTTCGCTTCCGCCTCCAGGCGCTTGACCTCCTGGCCGCTGACGGGGCGGCGGAGAGGGCCGGCCGACACCACGGCGACCCTTTCCCGCCGCGGCGGCTCTCCCCGCCCGCCCGCCCGACACCAAGTCCGCTCAAAATCCTCCTCCTCTTCCTCCTCCATCATCCTCGCTCCTCCTCCCCATCCTCGTCCTCCTCCTCCTACTCCTCCGTTCCTTCTCCTTCTAGATACCTTCTCCCTGTCGCACCCCGAGGCCAGTTTTGAGGGGGCGGGCTGGGCGTTTCGCCTGAGACTTCCTCACCACTTATGACTCTGAAGCTCAAAAGAGTGACAGCAGCTTCACAGATGGAGGGCGGGTCGTTTTCAAAACGTGGTTCTCGCCTTAGCGCCGCGCACATTCGTTCAACAAAAAATGCAAGAGCTGCACGGATTGAGGGCGGGCCGTTTTCAACATGTGGCTCTCGCCTTCGCGCTGCGCACATTCGTTCATCAAAATTACAAGAGCTTCACGGATTGAGGGCAGGTGGTTTTCAAAATGCGGCTCTCGCCTTAGCGCCGCGCACATTCGTGTTAAAATTGCAAGAGCTTCACGGATTGAGGGCGGGTCGTTTTCAAAATGTGGCTCTCGCCTTAGCGGCCGCGCCCATTCGTTTCAATAATTTGCAAGAACTTCACGGATTGAGGGCGGGTCGCTATGAAACATGTAGCTCTCGCATTAGCGCCGCGCACGCTCGTCATACACATTTGCAATAGCTTCACGGATTGAAGGCGGTTCCTTTTCAAACTGTGGTTCTCACCTCAGCGCCGCGCACATTCGTTTTCAAAATTTGCAAGAGTTTCACGGATTCCCGTGATCAGCGTACCAGAAATGGTGTTTTGGACGGATTCAGGATTATGCGGGCGCAACAGTTATGTTGATTCGCGGTGTTAAAGTCCCCAAAATGGCGTTCTGGCTTGATTCGGGATCGTCAAGACGCAACAGTCAGGTTCATCCGTGGCGTTGGAATCCACAGAACAATGTTTTGGCATGCTTCAGGGTCTTCAATCGGTTATCGTCCAACGTGGCAGTTCCCTAAATGGAAATGAACCGTTGTGGGGGCCTATGAAGAGGGAGCTTGGAGGGAGGGTTAATTCCAACATCGCTGATGACTCTTGGTTTTACACTGGTCCTCCTCCTCCTCCTCCTCCTCATCCTCCTCCTTCCTCCTCGGATCTGACCTGGCCCGCGCCGCGGGGTCCCCAGTCCCCGACGGACTGGCCGAACATCCGAGGCTCTGTGCCCTTGCCCCCCTGCTGGAGTGGGGGCATGCGGAGCGGCGGAGGGCAGCGGGGCCGCCGCCGCCGCCACCGCCGCTGTCGTCGTCGTCGTCGTCGTCGTCGTCGTCGTCGTCGTCGTCGTCGTCGTCGGTGCCGTTGGGCGGATCCTTCCTCCCCCTCGTCCTCCTCCTCCTCCTCGTCCTCTGTGCTATCCGCCTCCTCCTCGTCCTCCTCCCGCTCTCCCTTCAGGGGGGGGCCCTCCTCGGGCGAGGTCTCGTCGACGTCGCCGCGCAGCGCCTGGGACACGGGCTCCACGCGCACCTCTGCGTCGTCGGCCTCGGCCTCGGCGGGCGGAGGATCGGGGGAGCAGCGGGGGGGGAGGGAAGCGAGGGGGGAGGAGGGGGGAGGAGTAAGGAGGAGGAGGAGGAGGAGGAGGAGGGGAGGAGGAGGAGGGGGAGGAGGGGAGGAGAGGAGGAGGAGGAGGAGGAGGAGGGAGGAGGAGAGAGGAGGAGGGAGGAGAGGAGGAGAGAGAGGAGGAGGAGGGAGGAGGAGAGGAGGAGGAGAGGGAGGAGGAGGAGGAGGAGGAGGAGGAGGAGGAGGAGGAGGAGGGAGGAGTAGGGGAGAGGAGGAGGAGGAGAGGAGGACGAGGAGGAGGGGGAGGAGGAGAAGGAGGAGGGATGAGGCAGTGGGAGGTGGTGGTGGCAGAGGAGGGGGAAGAGGAGGAGGAGGAGGAGGACAAGTGTAAACCCAAGACTCATCAACGATGTTGGAATAAACCCTCCAACCAAGCTCCCTCGTTACAAGTCTCTACAATCTTAAATTCCACTGAGGGAATTGTCCCGTTGGGAGACAACCGTTTGAAGACCCCGAAGCGTGCCAAAGCACCATTCTCGGGACTCCAACGCCACGGGTCAACCTGACTGTTGCGTCTTGACGGTCCTGAATCGCGCCGGAACACCATCCCTGGGACTTCCACACCGCGAATCGACGTAACTGTTGCGTCTTGACAACCCTGAATCGTTCCCAAACGCCGTTTCTGGCTCGTTAGCCGTGCGCACCAATGAAACTCCTGCAATTTCTTAAAACGAATGTGCACGGCGCTAAGGCGAGAACCACACGTTGAAAACGAACCGCCCTAAAATCCGTGAAGCTCTTGCATAATCCGCCGACCCCTTGGGGTCATCGGCGTGTGAGATGCTTCTCCCTCCCCAAACCCTTCCCCCCAGGTCCGGTCTGGTCGGTTTGGAGGGGGGGTGGTCCGGCCGGCCCCAGGTGAACGCACCACGGGCCTCACGACGGGCCATGAGGGCCCCAAGAGGCCCACAAGATGGTCCAAGAGGGCCCCGAGTCGCCGATGGATCGTTCCAAGACGACCTAGATGGCCCCCAGACGGCCCAAGAGGCCCCCGAGACGCCCCAAGAGGCCCCCAAGAGGCGTCCCAAGAGGGCCCCCAGAAGCAATAATCGTCCCATCCCCTTAGGGAAGCGTGAGATTTTAACACATTCGCTTCTTGGGCTTTCACAACGTCCAAGAAGGCCCAAGAGGCCTCCAAGATAGCCTCAAGACGGCCTGGGAAGCCCCCAAGAAGGCTCCAAGACGGCCCAAGAGGCCCCCAAGACGGCTCCAGGAGGGGGTCCAAGCGGGGGACCCGAACGGAAATTTCGAGCCCTCGGCCACAATTGTACGTGCTCCGGACGTGCACCCCGCGAAGCGAGAGGAATCCACGTCCGGAAGTGACGTGCTGAGCGGCAGCGTTTCTCGGTGAACGCCTTAATGCAACATATCCAATGTATCCAATGCTGGCAGACTTGCTACATATTGCATTGTGTTACATGATTATGTCTCCCCCCTAAAATGACGCCGCCCTTCTCGGGCTCTCAAGACCTGTCAAAAACCATCGGAAATCTACGATTTGGGCCTCTTGGGCCTGTCGGAAGCCCAAGAAGGCTGCAAAATTGCCCAGGATGGCCTCGGGTCCGGCCAAGACAGCCCGAAAACGGACCAAGATAGCCCATCCAGGGCTCACGAGGCCCTCCAGACGGCCCAAGAGGGCCCCAAGAGCACCCACAACGAGTGTGCGCGGCGCTATAACGAGAACCACATTTCGAAAACGGCCCGCCCCCAATCCGTGAAGCTCTTGCAAATCTTGGAAAAAAACATATGGGCGCGGCGCTCGGCAAGAACCACATGTTGACAGCGGCCCGCCCTCAATCCGTGAAACTGCTGCCAAGTATTAGGCTTCAGATATTGAGGATGTCTCAGGCGAAACGCCCAGCCCGCCTTTTCGACTGGCCTCGGGGTGCGACAAGGAGGAGCTTTTTCCCTACCTAGGCTCTGCCTAGAAGGGTTCTTACTCTCTTAGCTTAAAGGGGCCGGGCAGTGCACAGCGCCTCGGGCAGTTCCCCCAGTCCCCTGGGAGCGGTTCCCCCCAGTCCCCTGGGAGCTTTAGCTTTAGCTTTAGCTTTAGCTTAGCTTTAGCTTAGCTTTAGCTTAGCTGTAGCTTAGCTGTAGCTTAGCTTTAGCTTAGCGTTTCGCTTAGTTTTTCGCTTAGCGTTTAGCTTAGCTTTGGCTTAGCTTTAGCTTAACTTTAGTTTAGTTTGAGCTTAGCTGTAGCTTAGCTGTAGCTTAGCTTTAGCTTAGCTTTAGCTTAGCTTTAGCTTAGCTTTAGCTTAGCTTTAGCTTAGCTTTAGCTTAGCTTTAGCTTAGCTTTAGCTTAGCTGTAGCTTAGCTTTAGCTTAGCTGTTACCCAGCTTTAGCTTAGCTTTAGCTTAGCTTTAGCTTAGCTGTAGCTTAGCTTTAGCTTAGCTTCAGCTTAGATTTAGCTTAACTTTAGCTTAGCTTTAGCTTAGCTTTAGCTTAGCTGTGGCTTAGCTTTCGCTTAGCTTTAGCTTAGATTTAGCTTAGCGTTACTGTTACTACTAATGCTGCTTTCCTAGGGGTTCCAACTCCTAGGTAGGGTCGCACTGGGATAATTATATCAAGGAGCCGTGGGGGAGGAGGAGAAGGAGAAGGAGGAGGAGGAGGGATGAGGCAGGGATGCGGCAGGGGGAGGTGGTGGTGGAAGACGAGGGCGGGATAAGTTTGTCCTTCTCCTCCTCTTCCTTGTCATCCCCCCTCCACTCTCCTCCTCTGCCTTGTCCCCGTCGCCGTCCCCCCTCCTCTTCCTTCTCCTCCTCCTCCTCGTCCTCCTCCTCCTCCTCCTCCTCCTCATCATCATCAGCATCATCATCAGCATCATCGTCATCATCATCATCATCATCATCATCATCATCATCATCATCATCACCATCCCCCCACCCCATCACTCAACGACGACGGCGACCACGACGATGATGCGCCGATGGCGACGAGGATGCCCCAGTTGCACCAGGACTGGGCGGGGGCAGGCACACTATGATGCTTACGGTGACGATGCCGATGACGATGGCGATGGCGATGACGATGACGACGATGATGATGCTGCTGCTGCTGCTGTTGAGGATGACGATGATGACGACGACGATGATGACGATGGCGATGATGACGACGATGATGATGACGATGATGCTGCTGCTGATGATGGTTGTGGTGGTGGTGGTGGTGGGGGTGAGGAGGCGACCAGCGCGATCTGCCACGCCACAGACACTCAGACACGGCCCTGAAAATGACCGATGACATCCAGATTGAATTTCTTGACCAGGCGAGTTCAACTTGGCTCCTCTGAGTACGAGGCGAGACATTTCTGTCCTCGGCCTTGTCTTTCAAGTTTCACGCGGCAATGCTCCTCCTGCTCTCTCCTCCTTGTTCCCGCGGTCTCTGGGCATCTCGAACGGCACGATTTCACTGCAAAGCGGCGCTTCCACAGCAGAGCATTGAAAGATCACATTGAGCCTTGCCATCACACAATGCTTCAACGATCGATCTTCGGCATGGTTCGTGTTTTTAATCATCTTCCGCAGCGAATGGTTGACTGCCACTCTGTCAAATTTTTTCAGAGAGCTCTCCACAAGGAGGCCAAAGACGCTGCATCTTCTCGCGCTAGCGCGTGGCCGTCGATGCATTCGGCACGCAGCCGCGCCTATTGACATGCTCACAGTGGTTCGTTCAGAGGGTATGTTCGTAGAAAGAAGAGGAGGAGGAAGAGGAGGAGGAGGAGGAGGAGGAGGAGGAGGAGGGGGAGGAGGAAGAGGAGGAGGAGGAGGAGGAGAATGAGGAGGAGGAGGAGAACAATGAGGAGGAGGAAGTGGGTGAGTGTGTGTGTGGGGGAGTGGGAACAAAGAGAGAGGAGCAGGATACGGAGTGGAAAGGTAGGACGAGGGGGAAGAGGGGGGCAGGGCAGGATGAGGGATGAGACGCAATCCGCGGATGGTGGACGGACCCGAGGCCAGATCACGGGGCGCGCGAGGAGGGGGGGGGGGGGCGAGCAGGCAGACAGAGAGAAGGGGCGGAAGAGCATGAGAAGACGAAACGCACACCCCGAGAACGGAGAAACAAAAAACGATAAGGAGGATATTGATACGGAAGATGCGCAGGAGGAGGAGGGGGAGGAGGAAGAGCAAAAGGAGGAGGAGGAGGAAAAAAGAAAGAAGAATATGGACCAGCGGAAGCCCAAGCTGCGCTACGATGCTGCAGTAACGGTAACGCCTCCTGTCCGACCTCCGCAAATCCCCGCGAACATTCTACTTCGCAAAGGGAAAACGCCATCCCTGGAAGGCGAGCGCCCCAATCGGCCAACCATTCAAGCGAAAGACCATTTCGGAACAGGAACCGTCATCCGTCCGTCTTTTCAGCCCTGGGCATGTCGAAAGGTATACTGTATTCAGAGCGGCCAGAAACATGCCCATCGAGACCCCACTTGCAACAGAAGGAGCAGCCCTTCCTCTGCGCAGCTTGTGCACATGCTCCTGAGGCCCGCCCTCCTTCCGTCCAGCGCTCGCGTGCTTGGGGAGCTGCACGCCAGACAGAAAAAACAGCGACGCTGTCGGGGACAGCCTGGCCCACAACGGGAGCTCCGGGCATGCTCTGTGCACTGGGCCCGTGCTCTTGGCGCAAGTTGCGAGGCCGGCTCCTCTGAGCCTCGGGCTCCTGCCCCTCGTGCAGACAAGTCTGCGTTCGCACGAGCAGCGCGCGCAATCCACAGCACAGAACCGGCTGGCACAACACATCTGTCCGAACACAGCATGGCACCCCGTACGCTACATACAGCACATCATACCGCGCATCTGGTGGTACGGCATTGCGCAGAACAGCCATGTACGCAGCAAACCATAGAGAGACCTTGGATTTGCAGTATCCGTTGCGCAGACAGGGGACACCAACAGAGCACGCATCTTCGTATTGGTTGTGCGGTGCTTGGGCATGGC